AAGTCTAAATTATTCTCATAACAGTATGTTATTTTGCACTGTGTTGCCATTTGCAGAAGCAATGGCGTATAAGCTGCTGGACAAATAACGGCAGTGGCACCAAACTGTAGCTATAGTTACTATAAACTCAGTTTATTAAAAAGAGAAAAAGTAAAACCATTTTCATGTAAGAACACTACTCTGGCAAAGTAGTAAAAATGATTAGTTATTTTTAAATATATTTAATTATTAAATCCTGATCTTTGGAAAAAATGTACAATCTCTTTAATACGGTGTATGATAAACTGGGGGGAATGCATGAACCTTTTTGTTGCATGCCAAAGTACGATGGCTGCTCAACGGAAAGCACATATGGTGAATGCCTGAGTTCCAAGCTGAGCTAGTCATTTTCCTCAGAGAACACCATTTCTACTTTAAAGAATGACCACAGACAAATTGGTTATACGATCTTGGGTATCTGCCAGGCATTTTCTGAAAAAAATGAAGCATGTCACTTCCAGGAAAACTCTTGATAGTACAATGCAACTTAAGCTTTCAAGGAAAAAATGTTAGAATCTTGGAAAACATACTCCCCATTGTATATTTGATAGATTTCTGTTACTTAACAGCTTGTCTGATAAGATCAATGATGTTACTAACAAACGTGATTTTTTTTTATATCATAGAACAAAATGTGTCAACATGAGATCTGTGTACACAGTAAACCAATATCTTTATAAATCACCAGTGACTGATAATATAAAATCATGCAAGGGTAAAAGACCCATCGAAAGTGTAGGACACATCTGAAGCTGGGCACACACCTATAATCCCAGAAACTCAGAAACAGGTTTGCAAGTTCAAGGTCAGCTTCAGCAAGAAAGACTATCTCAAAAGAAAGAAAAAAAAAATTGGGTATGTAGTTCGGTGGCAAAGAAACCACAGATTGAGTTTTGATAAAGTATCAAAGAATAATATCCATAATTATCTTAAGGACTATTAAAATACTTCTCTTTTTCAACTACCTATTGTGTAAAGCCAGATTCTCTTCAAATACTTTGAACACACAACAACAGACTAAATTCAAAAGCAGTTATGAGAATTCAGCTGTCTTCTAGTAACACACTTTGTTTCAGAAATACTGTTTTTCACAAAAGTGTTATTTGTGTTAATTTGTAATGAGCTGAATTTTGTTATTTTAAATTACATATAATTTCAACTTTTCTCACTTTTAATCATTTTTCCCTCCAGGACTGAGGACTGAAGCTAAGGTTACTCTACCACTGAGCTACATTCTCAGCCCTTTTTATTTTGAGACAGGGTCTCCTAAGTTGCTGAGGTTGGCCTTGAACTTACAATTCTCCTGCTTTAATTTCCTGAGTAGCTGGGATTTCAGGCTGGCTCCCAGTTTATAATAAATACCAATAGATAAAATTTAAATAAACACAAGTTTTTTTTGGATCCTAAGTTTCTTTTCCCCGGGTACTGGGATCAAACCCAAGACCTCATGCATGCTAAACATAGCACCTTACCACTGAACTATACCCCAATTACAAGATCCTCAATTTAAACAAAAAAAAATTTTTTTTGTAGTTGTAGATGGACAGAATGCCTTTATTTATTTATTTATTAATTATGTGGTGCTGAGAATCCAATCCAGTGCCTCATGCATGCTAGGCAAGTGCTCTGCCACTGGGCTACAGCCCCAGCCCAGGATCCTCAATTTTTAATTGTGTAATAACCAAAATGTTTTGAGGACTGCTATAAAAAAATAAAAAGTGAATCTTGAAAAGCCAAAGCAGAACAGAGAACGCCATCTAGTGGAATAGACAGTTATGACAGCAACTTGCTTACTAACCAATTAAAAGATACTTCCAACATGTACCCCTGTAACAAGTTACATTGTTAGAAACTTTATATACTTAAAGCAAAAACATTCAAATTAAGGTTTTAGAATAAAAAACTTTAAATATCAATTAAAATAAAACTTGAATGTGCCAGAAAAACTCTGGGTTTGAGGTATAGGCTGCTACCTGGAAGATAGTCTGATGCATCTGGGCCAGATTTGATGGCAGGCTCATGCTGGGCAGGGATTGTTTCTAGTCATTAGGATACTGGTGACTGGAGGACATCTAATCCGGCAGCTCTATATAAACTCTCCACCATTACTCTCTAAAATAACTAAGTCAAGTTACCTTAGGACTGGATTTGGTGTTCTGATTCCTGAGGTCTGCCCAACAGAAATAGAAATTATTCCACAAAAACTTTTATTTTCATAGGAAGACTTGAAATTCAAGTGACTGAATGAGGTACAGTAAAGCATATCAGTTAAGGGCCAAGTAGAAATGATAGGACTTTCTAATCCCAATGCGGAACTGAGAAAGAGAAGGCTGAGCACAAAAGACACATTTACAATCTCCCTGAGTGTGCCGTTTTATGGAGTTCACCCCCACCCCCATTTCTTTATTAACTGCTCCTAGACAGCAGAAAAGTCTATTTTATTTTTCATGATCTGCCCTCTCTGATAAAGATATGTTCTTCCCTGAGGATTTACCTCAGGGACCACAGCACTCTACAAGGGGTGATGGTCAAGTGCATGTACCCCATTCTTAAGTCAACTTTCCCAGATGGCCTTCCAGCTTTGAGCACAGGCTGCAACTGCACACATAAAGCTCCAGTCTGGTAAATCCTCTTTTCCCTCCACAATTCAAGCCTAACACCTGATGGCTCCACCAGATTGTTGTATACTCGGGCTCAATGACCCTTATTTTCTTGGTAAAATGTGTTTTTGCCAGGAATGGTGGTGCACTCCTGTAATCCCAGCAACTCAAGAGGCTCAGCTCTAAGCAAGTTAGCAAGACCCTGACTCAAAATAAAACATAAAAGGCTGAAGATGTGGCTCAGGTTCAGTGCCCCTGGGTTCAATCCCCAGGAAAAAAAAAATAAAAAAAGTGTTTTTATGTGAATCATCTATAGCCTTTCATAAATTTATTTCTATGGCTGCAAAGAGTTGTATCCAATCACAGAATCAGTCCAAGTATGGAACAGCTCACACTATATTTTCAGATATACTGTTGTTCTCCATACCTGTGGGTTTCATTATCTGGATATTCAACCATGGATCCAGAATATTTTTTGGGGAAAAAAAATCGCTTATGTGGGCTGGGGTGTAGCTCAGTGGTAGAGCGCTTGCCTTGAATGTGTGAGGCACTGGGTTCCATCCTCAGCACCACACAAAAATAAACTAAACAAAGGAACTGTGTTCATCTACAAGTTACAAAAAAAAAAAAAAAAAATTAAAAAAAAATCTCGTATGTACTAAATATTTCCCTAAATAATACAGTGTAACATTTATTTTCACAGCATTTACACTGTACTAGATATTTTAAGTAACCTAGAAAATCCATGGAGGAGGACATCCACAGGTTATATGCAAACACTACACAATTTAGATAAGGGTTGTGAGCATCTGCAGATTTTGATATTCACATGGGGTGGAGGTGGGATGTTCTGGAACTAATCACCATGGACACTGAAGGACTACTATTTAGATTGTTAACTGGATAGTTTTCCTAAATTCTACTAAGCCATCTTGAAGGCTTCACCTGGTTTCAAAGTAGGTTTTTTTGTTTTGGGGGTACCAAGGATGGAACCCATGGTTACATAACCACTAAGCCACATCCCCAATGTTTTATTTTGAGACAGTCTTGCTAAGTTGCTTAGGGCCTTGCTAAGTTGCTGAGGCTAGCTTTGAACTTGTGATCTTCCACCTAAGCCTCCCGAGTTGCTGGGATCACAGGCTTGAGCTACCATGCCCAGCTCAAAGTATGTTGTTTTTTAATTTTTCATTTGTTTTGGTAGTACTGGGGATTGAACCCAGGGCCTTGCACACACTATTCACGGACTTTACCGCTGAGCCACATAACTAGTCCTCACCCTCAGCCCTTCTGATTTTTTAATTTTGAGACAGGGTCTCAATAAATTGCCCAGGCTGACTTCAATCTTGTAGTTCTCCAGCCTAAGCCTCCTAGATAGCTGGGATTATAGGTATGCACCAGTAGGACTGGCTTCAAAGCAGTTTTTTTTTTTTTTTTAAAAGAGAGAAAGAGAGAGGAGAGAGAATTTTTTAATATTTATTTTTCAGTTTTCAGTGGACACAACATCTTCATTTTATTTTTATGTGGTGCTGAGGATCAAACCCAGTGCCCCAAGCATGCCAGGCAAGCGTGTTACCGCTTAAGCCACATCCCCAGCCCTCAAAGCAGTTTTTAAGTGCAAAATTTGATCCCTATTCCCCAGGCCCAGAGTAATGGAATTAGTTTTTCTCTTTAGGGGCTAAAAAAAAAAATGTCCCATAAAGAAAGACTCCTCAAAAGACACATGTCCAATGCCCAGTGAATAACATAGCAGTTTAACCTGAACAAGTGGTCTTAACCTTCATCGCTACTGGACCACTAAGAAACTTGACAGGAATCACTGTTAATTACTCTCAGCTGCTACTGGGATGGACCTATGAGAAGAAATGGCTTCATGAAAATAAATATGTCTTCCTGACCATTAAACACAGCTTGCCCAAGAGTGAAAGTTGTACATCCCTAGGAAAATGTACATGGGATCAACATCCCCAGCAGTTGGGGTGAGGTCTCATATTGGTCTGAGCCTCTTGGAGATCTTTTTCACTTCTAGAAGCCTAAGAGAATCCCAAGTACACATGGCAACCCTCATGCCTTCCTGATTTCCACAAAGCACTTGGGAGACAGTGTGAGTTGTGAGACTCAGGCCTCTTGCTTTCTAGTCCAGAGTATGGCACAATCTGCAAGCCTGGAAATCTACTCTGCCTCAGGACTTATTCATTCCTAGGTTGCCTCAAAGATCTTTCTTTATAAAGCTGGCACTTTATAAATGCCACAAGGTCACACAATTATTAGTGGGACAGATCGTGACCAGACATATGAACTGAGCCATGATGTTAAAATGCCTTGTTCGTATCCAGCCACCCCGCCACAGCCAACACCAAATACCTTTGGGTCATCAGCCTCAGGTTTTTCAGTCTCTGAATCGTCATCTTCCTACAAGACAAAGAATTTAGAGGATTAAGCTTAAAGGAGTGGGCCTGAGAGTCTCACATGCATAACTAAGGTTGGAGCAAAAAGCTCATTTACCCAGAAGGGGTCATCCCACCAAGAACCCCTCCCCTACCAAATGACCCACAGCTAGAGAAAGAGAAGGGGAAAAGGAGATGTTCTGGGGTGGGGGGAATCCAAAAACAACAGCAGCTCAAAGTCAACAGTTACTCCAGTGGTGCCACAGTCCACATCAATGAAAATGCTCAAGGTAAAATATTACATAAAGAGTGGAAAGAAGTTGTAATTTGCTTCAGAAAAGAATAAAATTAGGTTACAGGATAAAACAAGCATAGTGTTTCCACTGAAATATGAATGATTTAAAACCAGTATTATGGATCTTTTCCCCCCTTGCCTTTCATATTCACAAATATATCAGATTTAGACCTAACACAACACTGTTCAACATAAAAAAAGAGCTGTGACTCAGACATCTATACCCTGGTACCTCAACCAGTAGAATTCACACTAACATGAACACAGGAAGGTAGACATATGACTAGAGCAGGTGACCTAGGAAAGGCAGGACTAAAGGGCAATGCACAGTCTTTCTTGGGTCCCAGCTGAGTGGGTTCCGCCTCCACTGAGTGCTTACATTACTGACTGCCACTGATCCATTCTGCCCACCTTGTTCCTTATCCAAATGAGCACCATGTGAATAAGACATTGTCCAGAGCAAGACCACAATTCTACTGAACACTTATACTAATATAACGAAGGTCCCAAAGATCAGGCACAGCTATTTTGTTAGATAATTAAATCCATGTCACTTCCATTACCTACAGCACTCCCAATACATGAAAGCTTTTTTAGTGCTGAGGAAAAACTGATTTGACACTGTTATTTTCAACAAAGTTACACTTTAAACCAAATGTGACCCAGCACTCTAGATGTTACTATACACACCACCTAAGAGTTGTAAACAAATATAGTAATGATTTTGAGACTTAACTGCCCTGTAAGGTGCCAGTGAGTCAAAGCCTTTGGATGCAATCTCCATAATCTCCTTAAAATGAAATCAATCAGCCAAATAATCAGTGATGGAGCCAGCTGAACACATATTTCAGAACATCTATTTTGGGATTGGTGAAATTTTACTAAAATATGAAACAAAGCTTAAATATGATGGAAATTCTAAGAAAAACAAATATGGAACAACATTTAAAAAATACACATTATGTAAATGTATTAAAGAAAGCAGTTAGGAAGATTAAGGCAATATATACATACTTGAGAAAAGTCAAGAAAAGATCTTATAAAGTTTTTCTTAAAAAAATATAATCAACTCTGAATTATAATTATTTATGGCTGAGGCTAAAGACATGAAAATACTTCACAAAAGAGCACAGAATATATTTCTATTAATTTGGAAAGCCATAATGCTGGGAACTGAACCCAGGGCCTGCTAGGCAGGTGCTCTACCACTGAGCTACACTACCAGCCCTAATTTGGGAAGCATTTTAATGCTAACATTAACATATAAACATGTAATAACATGTTTAAATAAATAAGTGTGTCAATTCAAACTGTTGCAAAATAGCCAGACTCAATCAATATCGAAATTCAATTTTGTACATATCTATGCTAAGCATTAGCATGAACTTCCTTGCTTTTCTTCCAAACATTCATTCAATCATTTTTATGGTGGTGGGGACTGAATGTAGGCCTTGCACATGGTAGGGAAGACTCCATTTCTGAGTTACATCACCAGCATCTCCAAACTTAAAAATTCTGATTCATAAGCCAGGCTTGGTGGTGCACACCTGTAATCCCAGCAACTCAGGAGGAATGTAAATTGGAGGCCAGTCTGAGCAACTCAGCAAAGCCCTAAGCAACTAAGTGAGACCCTGTCTCAAAATAAAAAAATAAAAAGGGCTGGGGATATGGCTCAGTGGTAAAGTGGCCCTGGGTTCAATCCTCAGTACCAAAAAAAATTTCTGGTTCATGCTGCTCTCAGGTGATTGTGAATCCTATGTCTTTCTTGTTAATAAAAACAAGTTCTCCTTTCTTTGTTATCCAGTACCTACTTAACATAAAGTGGAAGAAAATGAAATTTCCTTTCCTTATCTTGTTAACCAACTGAAGTAATTAAATGAGCCCCAATTGAGATTTCAAATAATACAGAGTTGATTTCAGATATAAATAACACACCAATTAGGATGAACACACTGTTATATCATTTAAGTAGGGAAAACTCATACAAAACACCCACTGATATCTGAGTTAAATAAAATAGTCCACTATCTTTCCTTGCAAATTTCAATTCCAAGGTTCATACAAAATGGTCCAGGTAAAAATGGATTTCATTTTCAATAGAACTACTGATATTCAACTTAGTTTCTTCAACCAATGGAAAACAAAAATGGGGAAGAAATGAAGTTCAGCCATAAAATGGAATATTATTGACACAATTCAAAAGTTTCTTGACAAACAAAAAGGTGCTTTGAACAGCTCTGGATTCAACAAATTTACTTACCGACTGTTTGCTGTTCTCATCTTCCTCTTCTTCATAACCATCTTCATCACCCCCTGGGCGAGAAAAGTCATCATCTCCATAGGCATCAGACACCAATCCACCTTTCTCTTCTGAAACAGAGGTGGTAAAAGATGGAGAAGAAAGAAAGAAAAAAGAAAAAAAAAAAAAAGCAAGAAAACTTTCTAGTGACTTGAATGGCTAAGACTATCTCTGAAGAAAAAAGGGGAAATTAATTCTCATGTAAGTGACCACAGACATAAACATGGAAGAATATCACACTAAATCCTGTTTCTTTTTTTTTTTTTTTTTAAAGAGAGAGGGAGAGAGAGAGAGACAGAATTTTTTTAATATTTATTTTTTTTAGTTATCGGCGGACACAACATCTTTGTTTGTATGTGGTGCTGAGGATCGAACCCGGGCCGCACGCATGCCAGGCAAGCGCGCTACCGCTTGAGCCACATCCCCAGACCCTAAATCCTGTTTCTAATGCTGTCAATCCAGGCTGGGGGTGTAGTAGAACACCTGCCTAGCATTCATGAGGCTCTGGCTTATATTCCCAGCACAGTCAAAAAAAAAAAAAAAAAAAAAAATTAAAGCTCTCAGTCCAGGGCTGGGTTTGTGCTCATTGGTAGAGCACTTGCATAGCACATGTGAGGCACTGGGTTCAATCCTCTGTACCATGTAAAACAATAATAATAAGCAAATAAAATTATAGAAAAGGTTTTTTAAAAAAGCTGTCAGTCCATCTACACTAGTTTAACTGAAGCCTTCCCTTCTCTGAATTATCATAGCATGGAGCTTGAACATTTCTTTTGACATGCTTGCCTCTACCTTGTATCATAGGAACCTGTGACTTTGCCTTCTCTTATAAGACAGACTGTCTTATTCATTTTCGTACCAATTCCCTTCACTTTCCAAATGAGAAAACGCAAGGCCTAGATACATTAGGTAACTTGCTCTTTCTACTACCCCAAAGAAATCTGTTCCTATTCTAACAAGAGATTCATAATTCGAACAAAACAACAAAATTACTGATGGGCTTTAAAAACTCACAAAGAAACAGAATCACCCAGAAGCTTTAAAAAAAAAAAAAAAAAAAGCTCACAAATACCCAAATTTTATGGCGTAAGCTACAGAATTACACTCTCTGGAGTGTAATTTAGACCTACGTCTAAAAAGCTCCAAGATATGTTTAGAGATCATTCCTAATTTAAAAGTCATAAATTTACCAAGACACACGTTTCATCACTCTCCAAGTAGGTTTTACTCATCTCCCTCCCCCCATCAAACAAGGAACCGGAGCGAACTGGTAGTGATGCTGCGGCCGTGGATACCTCTCTCCCTTCGTCCATTCCAATGCCCAGCACAGATTTCTATTAAGTTTTAGCAGAAGAGTAGAAACAAAGGAAGGAAACAGTTCTTATTGTAAAATCTCTAATGTTAAACCTAACTCAGGACCCCGACTGCGCTTCGGGGCTCCGGGGTCCGAATCGTGGGGCACAATGAACATCTCTTCCCCTCCTACCCCACTAGGAGAGCAGCATTCTGAAAGACGCTCGATTCCCCCTTCAGCTTCCCACTCGGGCCTCACCAGCCGCACCGCCCACAGCTTCGTTTCCAGCTTCGCCATCAGACTCGGGTTCTGAATCCTCGGCGTAAACCGCCAGAGACGACAGAACGTTCTTCTTCCCCGCCATTTTATTCCCACAGCTTGGGCGTGGCTCACGCCTATGACTCAAAGACGACGACTTCCGTGAGGAAAGTCAACTTCTTCCGGATCCCAAGACACACCGCGCCCGATGGTAACCAATCAAAACCGCCGTTTCTGAACCTGGCCCATCCCTCAGGTCTGCGCTTCATTGCGTCATCATCGCGCGACGGCTGTAAGGTTGTAGGGGTTGTACCTGACAGGCTATTCCCAGGGGTTTATCTTAGAGTTGGGAAAGGTGTGTAGAAGTGTTTGAGCGCTTGCGGAACCAGCGGACAGCAGCGGCCGGGCAAGAATCCTTGGCCCTTAGAGGCCCTACGGCCGGGTCTGATACCTGGGGGTGGTGAAAAGAGGGAATCTTCTGCTGGTGAAGAGAGAAAACTGTGGATCTGGGGCTCAGAGGAAGAAAAGTGGAAGGGCCGGTCCTGGGGGGAAGAATAGTCGTCAAGACTGCCCTTACAGAAGAAGGAGCAGTAGGTGGATCTTAGAAAAACAATTCCACGTTCTCCAAACTCTTCCAAAGACAGTTGCGTTTCTTGTGATCTGATTCTAGCTCTGGGCTAATTGGCCTGGGATAGTTCAATGTGTTTATGTTCATGGAGTCTAACAGTGCAGATGATAATTGCCCAGGAATGTATTGCTTGAGACAGTTCACCTGCAACTTTACTACTTGAAAATAACATTGCTTAAGTGTAATATAGCAGATTTATTCTTACAGAAGAAAAACAATCAGTGTTTTAAAAGCAGAACAGAGAGTTCTCGTGGCAATCTTCCACCACTTTTGCTTTAACTTTTGGCTACTAATTTTCGTTAAGATGAACACCCACCCTCCCTCCACTTCCTTTGACCCTGAACGGCGAGTCCGGAGCACATTGAAGAAGGTCTTTGGGTTTGACTCTTTTAAGACAACTTTACAGGAGAATGCGACCATGGCTGTAGTGAAAGGTAACATGAGACCACCTGCCTTTAAATTTCTACTGGCTGTACCATAGCATAACATCATCCTCTTAAAACTTCCTACTTCCTCACCTTAGGCCTGTAACTAGTTTTGGAGATCTTTAGACTTATCATCTAAAGCTGCAATTTTAATGGCAGAATCAGTCACTTGTTCTGATTCTTACATTATATAGCTGGAGCCAAAAATAGTCTTTGAAAAATTATTCCTAGATTCCCATTTTTTGTTTGGGTAGTCACAAGGTAATCCCCTTGTTGAAAAGTAAGTATTTGGGTCCCCCATAAGAAAGGAAGGAGCAGTAAGATTGTAAACTGGAGATATGATCATTGGAAATTGTCCAGAGGGGAGCAGCAGTGTAATATTTAAAAATTTTTTTTTTAGTTGTTGATGGGCTTTTATTTTTAGTTATTTATATGTGGTTCTAAAGATTGAACCCAGTGCCTCACACATGCTAGACAAGTGCTCTACCACTGAGCAACAACCCCAGCCCTGCAGCAGTGTAATATTACTGATATATTTATAAACAAAATATCTCTAAGTGATGTCCTTGTGTGTCTATACAGATGTGCCCAGTCACCTAGCAATATTCTGCTTTTACAACTGTTTTTTTTTTTTCAGTCATCTATGTCCCAGCAGACTCAAAATTTATGCCCTTATTATTATTATTCGTGTATGTGGTACTGAGGATTGAACCCAGGGCACTCTACCACTAAGCTACATCCTTAGTTCTTTTATTTTTTTATTTTGAAATAGGGTCTCACTAAGTTACTTCAAACTTATTATTCTCTGCCTCAGCCTCCCAAGTTGCTGGGATTATAGGCAGATGCTACCATGCCCAACTCATACTCTTTTGTTTTTTAATACCATTACCAGAAATAGTTTTCAGACATTTCCAAATATTTTAGTATCCTTGTCCTTTTTATAGAAGGGACAAAAGAGAGTTAACATATCCAGATCTTCCCCTGTGCCAGACACTGCTAGATGTTGTTCCTACATTCTCTTTAAATTTTCAACAACCTTGATGAAAACAGGAAGCACTGAGACGTTATCTTTTTGTGTTTTTGCAGGTGACAAGGATGTCTTTGTGTGCATGCCCACAGGTGCAGGAAAATCCCTTTGCTATCAACTCCCTGCACTGTTGGCTAAAGGCATCACTATCGTTATTTCTCCTCTTATTGCTTTGATTCAGGTGAGCTTTGGGGAATGAAGGTGGTAACCCAAAACAATGAAGGAATGGTTGTTTATAGTTAGAAATTTTACTCCTCCTTTATTTGGTCTTTGCCTTTTATTTTCTCTGATTTGCCTACATTACTCTTGTTGGGTTTCTGAATTGCCCAAATGTAAGGTTCTCTATTAGTGCATGTCACTCTTGTGGGTCACAAATGAGTCTTACTGTTTTGATGGCCTGAGGTCCTTCATCCTCTGGGTTTGGTTTTTGTTTTTGCTTTTTGGTTTTGTTTTGTTTTGGGTTTTTTTGGTGCAGAAGTGTATGAAACTTTATCTGTTCCATACACCAACTCACTCTCACATCCACACACATGTGCTCGTGATGTTAGGATAAAAGGTGCAGGTGTATAGGTAGCTAAATTGATATGAGGAATCCCTGGTGTCCTGGTTTATTTTGGCAAGTGTACAGGTATGTGAAACCGAAAAAGAGATGAGAAACTCATTGGGACCTTACTGACCAGATGTTCTGACTGTATTTAGTGCCTGCAGATGGGCTGATGGAATTAGAATTGAGGAAGTAAGGCCATGTGGTTAAGAGCCATCCACCCAAAAGAAAGGTACACAGACTGGGAACACCAGTTGTACTTTGCCAGTGTTCCCTATTCTCAGGCTTTGTGCCAGGTGCTTTATATGCATTCACATTACCTTTAAAATGTAAAATTTTATTCACTTCTTACTACAGTCTTATTAGATGGTTACTATTTTGGGAGAGAGAACTAGAACTGAGTCCCAGGGGTTAAGAAACAGCCTGAGAGCAGGTAGCACTTTAATGAGCCAGGATTAGATCCAGGTCTTTGTGACTCCAGAGAGCCTGTCCTCTCAGCCACTTCACCTTGCATACTTCTGGGCAAAGAGCAGATATGTGGAAGGAGGGGAGGAGGCTTTATGACTGGGAAGTTTCCTGGGGAGTTGCAATGAAATTGACCACTGATTCTGGCCTTGTCCCCTTTTGCCCTCAGGACCAAGTGGACCATTTGCTGGCCCTGAAGGTACAAGTGAGTTCCCTGAACTCAAAGCTTTCAGCGCAGGAGAGGAAGGAGCTGCTTTCTGACTTGGAGCAAGAAAAACCCTGGACCAAGCTTCTCTACATTACCCCAGAGATGGCAGCTGCATCCTCCTTCCAGCCCACCCTGAATTCCCTAGTGTCCCGCCACCTTCTCTCCTACTTGGTGGTGGATGAAGCTCATTGTGTTTCCCAGTGGGGACACGACTTTCGTCCTGATTATCTGCGTCTGGGTGCTCTGCGCTCCCGCCTGGCACATGCCCCATGTGTGGCCCTGACTGCCACAGCCACCCGACAAGTTCAAGAGGATGTGTTTGCTGCCCTGCATCTGAAGCAACCAGTTGCCACTTTCAAGACTCCCTGTTTCCGGGCCAACCTCTTTTATGATGTGCAGTTCAAGGAACTGATTTCTGATCCCTATGGAAACCTGAGGGATTTCTGCCTTAAGGCTCTTGGACAGAAGGCTGATAAAGGGGTGAGACCCTAAGGTTGGGGACTAAGGTGTTATCTGCACCAGAGAGATGGATAGTTTTTCAAACCTTTGCTTTTCCTAGCTTCTTAGTCAGGCTTCCTAAAACTTGTGTACAAGCTGAGTACAGTGCCTGTAATTACAGCTACTTGAGAGACCAAGATAGAAAGATAGAAAATTCCAAGCTAGCCTGGGCAACTTAGTGAGACCCTGTTTCAAAATAATTTTTTTTTTTTTTGCTAGGGAAGCTACTAGGAATTGAACCTAAGAGTACTTTACCACTGAACTACATCCTTAGCCCTCACAAAGTCTCCTGGGGTCTTATTAAGTTGATGAGGCTGGCTTTGAACTTGCAATCCTTCTGCCTCAGCCTTCCTAGTCACTGGGATTATAGGCATGCACCAGCATGCCTGGGTCAAAATAAAATTTTAAAAAAGAGTTGGAGATATAGCTGAGTGGTAGAGTGCCCCTGGGTTCAGTTCTCAGTGCTTCACAAAACAAACTTGGGCACAAAAAGAGTTATCCCTTTCATTACCTGGCATTGTCCTCCTCAATGGGGTTCCCTTGTCTTGGCTCCATCTGTGGAAAACAAGCACATGGTCCCTCTGTGTGAAGCCTTTGCTGACCTACACAGGGTTTTGGGGAGTAGGCAGAGGAATTATAGAGGCTGGACTTTAGGCTGCTTTGGTTCTGCTTCTTCTGAAGCAGGAGAGCTCTGTTGGTTGTCCTGCCTTCTCAGTAGACTGAAGTTGACAAGACAAAACACAGAGCTTCTTCTGAAGCAGGCTGCACCTAGCAGGCTGATTGTTTTCTTCCCACACCTCTTTTCTTCCTGTCTCCCCATTCAGTTGTTGTCCGGCTGTGGCATTATCTACTGCAGGACTAGAGAGGCTTGTGAACAGGTGGCCATAGAGCTCAGCAGCAGGGGTGTGAATGCTAAGGCTTACCACGCAGGTAAGAGATGTCCAGGCTATGTGGTCCTCTTCACTTGAGGAGGCCTGTTTTGTTCCTATGGATTCTGGATAATTAGGTGATTCATTATCTTTTTCCAGAGACCCATGCAGAGCTAAAATTCACTTGATTCCGCTAAAAGGAGTCCAGGTGTGAATGAGGTCTAAAATAAGAGTTGTAATTCCTGAATTCTTTTTCTTATCCTGTGCCCACCAAGCAGCAGGGGATGCATTTTTATAAGTCCAGATATAAAAAACCAGGTCAAAGAAGCACAGGCTTTGGAGGCCAATGGACAACAGTTTGAGTCTCATCTAACATTTATTGAATGCTCTGTGCATTCACGTTGACCCACGGGCTGAGGTCTTTATGTCTATTAACTGAGATTCTGTGAGATTAAGTACCCAGCCCCAGGTCATATAGCTGGGAGTGATGGACTCAGGGTGGGTATAAAGTGCCCAGCAATGTAAAACCCAAGGTAAACCCATGGGAAATGTGGGTTATCCTTCCCCACCTTCTCCACCTTTGCAGGGCTGAAGGCTTCTGATAGAACACAGGTGCAGAATGAGTGGATGGAGGAGAAGGTCCCTGTAATTGTTGCAACCATCAGTTTTGGAATGGGAGTGGACAAAGCCAATGTCAGGTGAGCTCTGCTTATTGCTTTACCTTCCTGGTTGGAGCCTGGCTCAGGGTAGTTTGCCTAGTTCTGTGCTTCAAAGAAGTTATAAAAGACTTAGTCATAGTTGTGTCTCTCATAAGTGTCAGAGTCTAATCTTATTCTAAGACTGGTATTTATTCCACTGGGCCTCTGGCTGTGAACTTTTTTGGATCCCCCATATTTGTTGAAATTACCCCCTTAACTCCTGCCTCTAAGCTGGGCTGCTCCATGGCAGAGAGAGCTGCTAATGTGCTACAGGCATCTCAGCCAGCTTACTCTGGGATCTTTTTTCTGCTTCCTTGTACCTGGCCTCAGTGGATAGAGCCCTGCTCTAGTGGCACAGGATTCCCCCCTCCATGAGGACTCAGCTCTTCCATATCTCATGCAACTCATTCTTTTGAATCCCACAGGTTTGTCGTCCACTGGAATATTGCCAAGTCAATGGCTGGGTTCTACCAGGAGTCTGGCCGGGCTGGCAGGGATGGGAAGCCTTCTTGGTGCCGTCTCTATTACTCTAGGAATGATCGGGACCAAATTAGCTTTCTAATCAGGAAGGAAATTGGGAAACTCCAGGTAAGTCATGGGTGGTATTAGCCTTTTCTAACTGAACCCACCACTCTCCAGTTTTACACAGTCTATTTCCCAGTCCAGCTGGAGCTTCTGTAAGCTAGACAGGGCGTTACTGGCCAGGGTTTTGCAGGGTAGTAGTGGTGTGTAGGGTGGACAGGCAGCTGACAACAAGCTAGTTTGGTCTTATTTTCTTTATAAACATTTAAATTATGCTATTTTACAGTCAAAATCAATCTTGCCCTTGTTTTAGTGAGCATTGTTATATGAGCATTTCCCATTGTTATGTGTCTTTTACTTTTGCTTTTAGCCATTTTTTATTTTTTAATGGTTAGGCATTCTTCTTAGAAAACCTAAAAACAGAACCAAACATGTAAGAGAACCTGATATGTGATAGGTAGCATTATAAATCAACAGGAAATTGTTGGAAAAGGGGGAACTGTTGAATAGTGCCAACCAAAAAAAATTTAGGTCCCTACCTGATAGCACATACATATGAATTACAGGTGGGTTCAAGACCTCAAAAAGCTATAAAATTAAAAGGCGAAATATTTTATCTTCTTGAGGAAGAGCAGAGCAACTCAAGGTTTTTTTTTTTTTAAATAAGTTTAAAAAATTTTTTTTAGATATTGATGAACCTTTATTTAATTCACTTATTTATATGTGGTGCTGAGAATTAAACCCAGTGCCTCATACAAAATTAGGCATATGCTCTACCACTGAGCCACAACTCCAGCCCCTACTCAAGATTTTTGAAATAGAAACCATAAAGGAGCATGTGATGTATTTGATGAAATTCCAACTAAAATTTTCTGTATAATGGGCAACACCATAAATTAAGTGGAAAAAAAGGGGAAGATATTTGTAGTATATATTATTGGTGGGCTGTTGAGAGAACTCCTTATAAGAAAAGGTACCAGCCTCATAGCACAAAGCACAGACAATTCATAGAAGAGGAAAACAGAATATTTAATAAATGTACAGAGATGTTCAATGTTACTTAGGAATCAAAAACATGCAAATCAGAAAACAAGCTATCCTTTTATACCTATTAGGTTGGCAGAAATGTAAAACATTTATAACCAATTGTTGTTAAGAATGTGGAGGCTGCGTATGGTCATGTGAACCTGTGGTCCCAGCTACTCAGGAGGCTGAGACAGGAGGATCACTTGAGCCCAGGAGTTTGAGGCTAGCCTGGGCAATAGAGTGAGACCCTGTCTTAAAAAAAAAAAAAAAATTACAAGAAAATTTAGCCTGGTGTATGATCTAGGGCTGGAGTTATTATGTGTATGTATGGGGGAGTACTAGGGATTGAACCCAGGAATGCTCCACCATTGAGCTATATCCCCAGTCCTTTTTTTAATTTTTATTTTGAAACAAGTCTGGCTAAATTGCTGAGAGCATCACAGATTGCTGAGGCTGCTTTCAAATTTGTGTTCCTCCTGCCTCAGTCTCCCAAGTCACTGGGATTATAGGTGTGTGCCACCACATCCAGCCTGGAGATACTTTTGTAGTAGAAATTACAAGCCTGGAGGGCTGGGGATGTGGCTCAAGTGGTAGAGCGCTCGCCTAGCATGCGTGAGGCACTGGGTTCGATCCTTAGCACCACATACAAATAAAATAAAAGATATTGTGTCCACCTAAAAGCTAAAAAAATAAATATTAAAAAAAAGAAAAGAAATTACAAGCCTGGAAAGCTATCCTTTTAAAAAAAGAAATATTTGAATACATTAAAAAGTTTTAAATTTCTATCAACTCTGAAGCTATAAAAAATGTATATGGCAAAAAGTCCCATAAACAAAGTCAATAGATAAACAGTAGATCTGGGAAAATATTTCAGTATAGAAGCAAGTAAAAGGTTAAGGTTGAGAACAGAGAGCTTTTGCCAATTGATAAGAAAAAGGACACGAAAAGCAAAGAATATGAAAAAAATGTTCCCAGAAAAACTCATCCAAATGACATTTCAAAAGATGCTCAAATTAATAGCAATCAAATAAATGCAAATTAAATGTTTTGACATGCATGTGAATAAGCTCTAGCCCTGGTTGCTAGTGGGGCTGTGTAGGAAAGAGGACTCATGCTTTGCCAAGCAAAGAGTTACAGTCATTTTGAAGAAAGCAATCTAGCACCTTCTATCATACTTTTTTTTTTTTTTGCAATGCTGGAGATAGAGCCTAGGACCTTGCACTTGGGAGGCAAGTGCTCTGTCACTGATCTGCACCCCTAGCTCCCTGTTACCCTTTAAAATACAGGTATACTTTGACCCAGATATCCTATTTCTGGCATCAGAGTCTATGAAATAAAAGTGCCAGTGCATAAGCTCATGTGTAGAGCCTGTGAGGCAGAATTGTTCATGATGACAGAAAATGACAAAGAAGATGAATGTTGATCCTTGGGCAGTGAGTAAAGAAATCATGGTACATGTTCCCCATGAGGGGATACAAGGCACAGCTGAGGCTGAGGAAGGCTCCTATCTTATTTTTTAGAAATTCATATTTATTACTACTCAGACATTTGTTTATGCTCTGTCTACTTTTCTGAAATGCAAACTCCATGAGAGTGGGACCTTTTGCTTTCTGTAACTGTAGTGCCTAGATCTGTGTGGGAACAGAGTTAGTATTTAGTAAATGAATGGCTAAATTAAGGAATGGGGAGAGAAGGTGAATGCAAGTAAAGATTAGGATGGAGACTTTTGTGGGCAGAGAATGATGGTTTGCCCTGAACTAAGGGAGCATGATTAACTCATCTCCATGATCTGAAATTCACATTAGACAAGGTAAAGATTTTGCTAGGATGATTGAGTAGAAGGTATTTATTTGAAACTTACTAACAGTGAATTTTGGGAACCTACGCTAGACTCCTTGAAATATTTAAGATCATTGGAGAGAAAGAGAAGATCTAGAAAACTTATATAGAGAGAACACAGGCAATATATGATGGACTGAGAACCAGAAGGGCATCTGGTTTCTCAGCTGGAACACTAGAAACAAGATAACTGTGAAGTAGAGCCTTCAAATTCCAAACAAATGCCAGGCCCATGTGGTGGCACATTCCTGTAATCCCAGGGACTTGGAAGGCTGAGGCAGGAGTATCTCAAGTTCAAACCCCACCTCATCAACTTAGTGAGGTTCTGTCTCAAAATAAAAATATAAAAAAGGTCTAGGAATATAGCTAGTGGTAAAGCACTCTGGGTTTAATCCCCAGTACCTGTCCTCCTCCCCTACAAAATTCTAAACAATTTCCAACCTAGAATTTTCTACCCAGTCTATCAGTTAAGCATGAAGATAAAGACATTTTCAGATGCAGGGTTTCAAAAAATTTCCTCTGTGTCATGTCTGGCTAGTAAGGGATGCTCTCCATCATAAAGAGGTAGTTAACTTGGAGAGGAAAATGGAGATGTGACTGAGGAGCAAGACAAAGGGACAATGTTCAGTGGGAGTCAGAAAGACAGCTGGGCACAGGCCTACAAAAAATCATGCAGATGAAACTGGGGGATGGAAGGTTCTAGGAAGGAAGTTTCCAAAAATTAAAGTGGAACCTGCATGTCCAGCTCCAATTCAGATGAATTCCTTATTATGTCAAAACATTTGAGGGTGAATTAGTGACATCCTGAAATCTAGGCAAATGGAACAAACAAAGCAACTATTTCAGGGAAAACAGAGTTATAAAAAAGAAAACCTGACCATGGGAAATGCAATTCCATGGTTTAGCTTGAAGTAGTGTTGACAGGGTTATAATGAGGAAAATATCAATGTGATAAGAAATTGCAGTTGAAACACATTGAGAGATTGCAGGTGAAGGAAGTATGTGCATTCATCTATATCAGGGGGAGGGGCCACCTAAATGCAGTAAGTCAGTAAGTAGGTAATGTCTCAGGTATCATGTCATATTTTCTTCACTTTTCTGTATTTCTTTTAAGTTGACAATTTTCTTTCTTTCTTTTTTTTTTTTTTGGTGTAGATGGACTCTACATAATGCCTTTATTTTTATGTGGTGCTAAGGATCGAACCCGGGTCCTGCCCGCACTAGGCGAGCGCTCTACCGCTGATCCACAGTTCCAGCCCCAAGTTGACAATTTTCTAAAAGGAAATTTTTAATGAATAGCTGTGTATTAAAAAGGCCAGTGGTGCATACCCATCACTCAAAAATAACAACTGTTAACCTTTTTTTTTTAGTTTTGTTTTTTTAGTTGTAGTTGGACACAATATTTTATTTATTTTTTTATGTGGTGCTGAGAATTGAACCCAGTGCCTCGCACATGCTAAGCAAGCACTCTGCCACTGAGCCACAACCCCAGCCCCCCAGCCCCCATTAACCTTGTGTGTGTTAAGCCTCTGTATATACATTAGCAGGTAGGGTCACACCATATAAGGACTTATATGAAGTCAGATCATATCATGCTTCCCACATGGCAGTCCAGGGCCCTTTGCATGAGAATCACGTGGGGAGCTTTTTGGAAGTATAAAATATTTCCAAATATTAAGGCTTCTGTCCCAGAGAGTTAGATTCATTAGCCTAGGGATTTTGATGTACACACAGGTTTGGGGATACCATTTAGTAAATGGCTTTATTATTGTCCTGTAATAGTTTTCTCCCTCATTAATTTTTGTAGTGACAATGTAGTCTAACTCTGTGACTTTTAGTGGTCATTTTCTGTCTCCAGGAAAAGAGAGGGAACAAAGCCTCTGACAAAGCCACCCTTTTGGCTTTTGAGGCCCTGGTGACCTTCTGTGAAGAATTGGGGTAAGTGACTTATTTTAGTTATGGAGCAAAATGTCAGATCATTTCCTCCCCCAGCAGCCATTATCTGACCAGCTAACATAAAACAGCTTTTGTCCACCAAGGGACAAAGATCATTGGGTTTTGTATTGAGGACCCTTCTTCAGGACCCTTCCTCTTCTCTTCTGGAGACCCCAGCCACTCTGGCAGTTTGAGGATTTGTTTAGCATTTTAGGTGTTCATCCACCTTTCCATTCTACTCCCTTCTAGGATGACTGACATTATGTGGCCAGCCCCAAGCCATTGGCATTATGGTCATCACATGCCACTGAGCTGGGTCTTTTGCTTTACTCCAAGTATCCACTCTTACCTATGTCCCAAACAGAAGCATGTGACCCTCTTATCTTTTGGGCCAGGAGGCATCACGTGCTTTAGAGAAATCACCCTTTCTAATAGCCAGCCAGCCCACATGGAACCCACTTGTCTCCTTTGTCTTCATCTGTGGGGATTGGGCAGGGTGTCATGATTGTGGCTGGACACATGCAGTTGTTAGTGCCCCCTGTGAGGGACACCCCAAAGGACTCTGTTATACTTGGTCTAAAAAGCTCTCAGATTCGTCTGATCTCATGGAACAGTCCTGGGAGGACAGCAGATATGATTGCCTCAAAAACAGATGAATAAACCAAGCTCTGGAGAGGTCACAATCATAAAGCTCAAGGTAGACAGAAGCCACTAAATTTGTGCCTCCTAATTGTCAATGGAGTGCTCATTTCATATACCTATGCCATCTTGGTTTTTGTAAGCATAGTGTCTTCTTTTTGTTAGCTTGCTTGCTTGTTTTTATAGTGCTGGAGATGAAATCCAGGGCCTTGTGCATGCTAAGCGAGTGCTGTACTACTCAAGACTAGAATCTTGAGACAAGGTTCTGTGTAGAGGTACATAGTACCAGCGTGAAACAGATGTTTTGGGCTGTCTTCTGGAAACCAGGGAGACACTTCCTTAGGCACTGTCTTTGCATTCCCATCTCTGTCCTTCTCACATGAGTTGGTGGCTCCTTCTGGAAATGACCATCTCTCATTTGGTCTCTGTGGTAGGACCACACCCAGCAAAAGTGGTAGACTGCAATGCCAGGCCCACCCTTGCCTATGGCCCTCGCCACCAGAACCCTTTTCAGGCACTGGTTTAGGGATTGCTAAATTCAGCCTTCTTGGGCTCCTTGAGCGGACATCTCATTTCTGGTGAGGAATAAAAGGACCACCGAGTGTTCTTGCTAATTGTCAGAGCCCCCTCTGCTGGAAGCACCCTGGCTGGTTCTTGTTTGAGGCTCTGGGGGTTAGAACCTGCCAGGCAGGGAGACGATCCTCTTTGAGGCCTCTACTTCTATTTCATCTCATTTCAAGGAGCTGGGGTTTCTGAGTGTGTCAGTGGGCCAGCTGGGGGTAGGGGCCGAGGCATCCATGGGCCCAGGGAGTCCAGCTGAAGGCCTCCTGGGCTTTGTGCACAGCCTTGTACTTGTGTCTTGTTTTCTGTGTGTGAGGGTTCTGGATCCCAGGGCTTTCAGGCTGGAATAAAACCCCTGGTACGTCTGTAGGACCACTGCTCTTTGAATAAAAGGGAATGTTTATTATAAAATGGGGCAGAACATGAAGAAAAAGCTCCTTTCCACCCTATATTTGCTCCTTTTCTAAGAATAGTTCTGGTTTGAGGTCGAGGTGAGGCAGCTTTTCCTGCCAGCACTCCCTCAGGGCGGGCACCTGGCAGTGAGAGGATAGACCAGTGCAGTGGGTTTGCTAAGGTCAGAACATTTCTAAAAGAAAGCTGTTGTAGATGTTTGGGCATGTCGAGGTGGCACCCTGTGAGTAGCACTGGGTGGGAGGGTCTGGGACCAACAGAAAAGGGACTCGGGTCAGTTGGGATTGAGGCCAGGTTGTGGCACCCAGCAGTGTGCCTCTCATCTCTGCATGTAGCTGTTTTCTCTGGGCTGTAGCCATGGAAAAGCATTATTCATGACAGGGTTTTTTGTGTTTTAGTGATCTGGGAACAGTTATAAGGCATGAAGCAACCTCTGGCCTCGCGGCCTCAGTACCTTGAGATAGAAGAACAGCTCTGTGTTTAGGCCTGAGCTGAACTGTCTCTTGTGGTCTCCGAGCTGGGGAGCACAGAAGCCCAGTATCTTCCTGTTTATCCACTCATATGCTCATTCACTCATGTGTTCAACCAATATTGATTGATATCAGCTTTGCCAGGCACACTGGCCATGGGAATAAAATGGTGACAGAAAGAGACCCATCTCCTGCTTCTGTGGTGCTCAGTTTCCATGGGAAAGACAGGCATTTGTCAGGTAACTGATGATTCTTGCCAGATAATGATAGTGTACACCTGCAATCCCAACTACTTGGGTGGCTAAGGCAGGAGAATCACAAGTTTGAAGCCAGCCTGGGAAACTTACTAAGATCCTGTCTCAAAATAAAATAGAAAAGGCTTAGGTTGCTCAGTGATAGAGGACTTGCCTAGTATGTCCAAGGTCCTGGATCTAGTATCCAGTACCACAGAACAGAACAAAACAATAAAAATGTACAATTTCTGTTAAAAGGGCTCTGAAAAAAAAAGATAAATGGTGTTTTGATAGTATATAGCAGGTGTCCTACCCTAGTCCAGAGAGTCAGGAGAAATTTACCTGAGGAGTCAGGTTTAGACTGAGATCTAAAGGGTGAGGAAGCACTAGCTGAGCAAGTGTAGTGTTGGTGGTGCACACCAAGTCTGTGGCAGGACAGAGCAGGGCTTTTTCAGGAACTGAAACTTGCTCCAAGAACCTAGGGGCACGTGCCAGATGGCTGGTCGGACAGGCAGGGCCAGCACACAGGGAGAGTTGCAGGTCCCAGTAAGGCTTTGCTGGCTTCTTCTGGTGACCACATCTAGATAGAAAATGAACTCTTACAAGTTAACAGATTTGAAAAGGAATTTTTTACTTCATTTGGTTTGGTTGTTTTTGGTGTGTGTGTGTGTGTGTGTGTGTGTGTATGTGTGTCCTCTTCATGTTGCTGGCTGGGCTGGGAATCTATTGGGGACCTTCTTATCCGTTGCTTCTCTCACCTGAGAACAGAGGAGAAGACCTCTGCATGACCAGTATCAGACCAACCTCCCAATCTTGCTAGCTGACCAACCCTAAGGCAGACCCAGTGTTTGACTAGATTTTTTTTTCCTGGTGAGAAAAGACGACTGGACCCTGAGTCTGAGGGGACCACAGAGGGGTATGGGAGAAGCAGAGGAGCCCACCTCTCGTCTTCTTGGCCCCCAGGAAGTCACATCAATCCTCTTCATATTCTGTCTTCTCCAGTGGAGGGATTAAACCAAACACAACAGCAAACATGAAGAGAAACAGGACTGTGGAGATAAATAAGCCAATCACTATCAGGCCCCCCAGCTCCCAGGGGTTCTCCCAAAACTCATCATGCCAGGCGGTCTTCTGGATTGCCGCTTGGTCCATATAAACCTGGAAAAGAAAAGACGGAGGCTGTGAGTTTGGACCCTCAAGGTCCTGTCTCAGGTGCTACTCTCCACTCCCAACCTTCACACTAAGTAGCAGCTGCAGGGAATAGCTGGCCATGTGTGGTCACTGAAGAAATGGTGAGTCTCTGAGCTCCAGGTCTCCCGCAAGCAACAAATGGAGTTTCCCCCTTTGTAGAGAGGGCCCTGCATTCTTCCCAGAGGCTGCCCCGGAGCCTCCCTTTCTCTCCTGAATAGCTCTGGTATGAGCCAGGACATTCGTTCTATCCGAGGCCTACTCAACTCAAAGCTAAAAAGCACTGCTATGCGTCCTCCCTAACTTTTCCTGCCCCAATTGCTAAACATTTGGGAGGCATTTTGAGAACAACCGCATAGGAGCCCACCCATGTGCTGTGGTGTGCTCCTATAGTCCCAGTTCTCAGGAGGCTGAGGCAGGAGGATCACTTGAGCCTATGAGTTGGAGGCCAGCCTAGCCAACAGAGTAAAACCCTGTCTCAAAAAAAAAAAGGACAAGAGCCAAGAAGTGGCTCAGGCTTCAGTAAAGTCCCTGGGGGCCCCTGAAAATAGGAAATCTAAATATCTTTTCGAAATGGAACCAGTGTTTGGAGAGCTGTGAGCCCTTAGCTGAAGGGAGTAGAGAGGAGAAAGGAAAGAGTCATTACCTGCTGTTGTTACTGTGTTGTGACCTACAAGGGCAAATCAAGGTTGTCCTACAAGCTCCACGCTTTGGGGGGCCCTGACTGAAGAGACTGCCAGGTGACCAGAGCTTCACCCTGATTCAAGGAAGCAACTTTTTTGGGGGGAAGGCGTTAGTTTTGACTAGCAGCCCTGACCAGACCTGCATTGCTGCCACCAGAACAAACAGCGGTGGGCTGGGGCTGGTTGCCTGGCAATGACCACTCCCTTTCTGCCTTTCACACTCCTCTCAGCTGCATCCTGCCTTTTGTGATGTCACTGTTGGGGTACTGTGGGCACCTGTTCAGAAGTGCTCCCAGAAAGCAGTCAGACTTGGAGTGGGGTGGGGGAGGAGACTGAACCCGGGGCCTGTACCCCAGGCCACCCACCCATCTTACCTGTATAGAGCAGGGTCTTGGCTTGGTTTAGATGACCTGTCCACAGAGAGAACCTGCCCAGAGCTGGGAGCCCTGGGGCTGGGACTGCCACCCAGGCCTTATTTCCAGGAATGTGGTGAATGATTAACTGCAGCTTCTGAAGGGAGTCTGGGGCGGGGAGCACTGTGGAGGCCTCACTTCTTGATGGTGCCTGTTGCCTCTCAGGCCAGGCCTTGGCTGCTGAGTGGCTGGTTGCTACCCATTGGTGTGATTGGGAAGCTAGGAAAAGGGAACAAAGCCCAAAACCTCATGGCCACCCTTAACTGCTTTAAAAGCTAGGATGGGGGCTGGGGATGTGGCTCAAGCAGTAGCGCGCTCGCCTGGCATGCGTGCGGCCTGGGTTTGATCCTCAGCACCACATACAAAGAAAGATGTTGTGTCCGCCGAAAACTAAAAAATAAATAT